AAGGCAGAAAGGTCTCATTATTAAATTAGACTGGGAGAAGGCTTACGACATAGTTGACTGGGCAAACCTTGATTTCATCCAAAGTCGTATGGGTTTCAGTCCTCGTTGGTGAAACTGGATTCTAGACTGCATTTCTAACCCTTCCTTTCTATTCTCCTTAATGGCTCCCCGGAAAGACTCTTCCAAACTGATAGAGGTCGTAGGCAAGGTGACCCTCTCTCACCCTTCCTCATAGATGAGTTGTTCTCCATAACCATCTTTAAATAGTACGATAGGGGTCATCTCTCGGGACTCCCTTCTAGCACAGTAATCTCGCACCTCCTTTACGCTGATGACACTCATCTTTTGTGATGCCTATCCTAACCAAATTGACTGCTTATGGCAGTTCCTAAGAACTTTTGAGCTCCCTATTGGTATGAAAGTTAATCTTGCCAAAACCAAAATGTTAGGGGTTATGGTCGACAACTCAAAACATGAGAGTCTAGCACTCCGCCTAGGTTGTTCCACAGAATCCCTTCCGTCCTCATACCTAGGTTTGCCCCTCTACATAGGAAAACCTAGAAAACATCTTTGGGACAACCTTATAGAAAAATTTACTTGGAAGTTTGCCTCTTGGAAGGGTCGCTTCTTATGCTTTGGGGTAGAATCACTTTAATCAGCACCACCCTCGCCAGTATCCCCATTTACTCTATCGTTATTCCAAATTCCCATCTCGGGTATAAAGCACCTGGACAAGCTTATGCGAGACTTCCTTTGGTCTGGAGTGGAGGGCTCCCAAAACTACCACTCAGTTGCCTGGGAAAAGGTCTGCATCCCAAAACCATTTGGTGGATTAAGAATAAAAAACCTGAGAACCATGACTCTGGCCCTTTTGGGAAAATGGTGGTGAAAGTTTTCTTCACCTCACCCCTCCTTTGGAAACAAGTTATCAACTCTAAATATGGGATGGGTAATAAAGATTAGATGCCCAAATCCCCCCCATAGGTCCTCGGGAGCTTGGAAGAGCATCTCCTCCACCAAAATAGTTCCTTAACCGCACCAGATTAGGAAATGGTCTTCATATCAAATTCTGGACTGATCTCTGAATTGGTCACTCCCCTCTTAGGATATCCTTCCCCTCGCTTTTCTAACTTGCCACAAATCAAGAAGTACTTATTGCAGACTACATGCAATTCAATGGGTCCAGCCTCGTTTGGATCCCTACCTTTAGAAGAAACCTCTCAGACCAAGAATTTATTTCCCTCACCTTCCTTCTCCAAACTCTTGCACCCATCTTTAGTCTGCTCCTACAACAAGATACCCTAATTTGGTCTCCAAACCCCTCAATATGTTTCTCTGTCTCCTCCTATAACTCTCTCCTACCCGACCTGAACCCCAATCCTCTCCTCAACAAAATTTTGTTCCTGCCTATCCCACATAAAGTTCAAGGTTTCGTTTGGATCAGTGTTTTAAAATGCGGGATGTGGCCAAAAGTGGTGGGGGGGGCGATGCCGCTCAATGCGGTCCAGATGCGGGTGCATCGCGACGATGCGGTCAATAAATATAAAAAAATTCTAAAAAATCTAAAAAAAAATAGGTTAATGCATAGAAAAAAATATGGAGGTGATATATGTGATAGTAGGTATTTTAGTTTAATGATTAACTCAAAAATATTAGTTCTCAGAGATTATGTATCCACTATCCCTTGATAGAAACTAGAAATTTGAAACTAGCTTCATAAAACATTAACAATCAACAACCATAAGCACAAATTTACAACCACAAACTTTAAAGTTACAAAATAGTGATACTACAAACCAAAAGTCCACGTCTCCATGAAGATTAAAGAGTTTTGCAGTCAAGTTCAAAAAGAGTTCAAAGTTAATACAATCATCCATTCACCATAGAAGTCATCTTGAAAGACAATTTTGAAGTTTCAAATGTTAATCAGAGAAGTCGCTTTGAGAGTTGTCATGTGCATCATGAATATCATCCTCGGCAGCCTCCACGTATTCTTCTTCTTCGGTCTCCTTTGAGTCAGCCTCCTCCTCCTCGACCTCCGGAGCTAATGTGCAAATGCGACTAGACCCAGCTCCTCTACTCCTCTGTGCTCTAATGTTAAGTCAGCCTTCTTCATTACTCCCTGTTGCTAGCTCGACATCAAGCCATCTAAGATCCTCACCCTCAAACACACGCTCTCGTCTTGAACCCATGGTTCACGTACTTGTGGAATCACCATCAGCTTCATACAATTGAATAGGGTTGAGCTTCATGCGATTTTGATACCTCTCCCTAAGCCACTCATTATACCGAACATAAACCAAATCATTCAACTTTTTCTGCTCCAACCTTTTTGTTTTTTTGTATGGAGCTGTGGTAGAAAATTGAAATTAGATAAATTAGATATTATATTAGAAAATCGAAATTTGAAATTGAAATTCAAGAAATAAGGATTAAGGAATAAGGAGTTAAGGACTTACATGCTCAAATGCATTCCAATTGCGTTCACAACCAGATGAGCTACATGTGAGATTCAATACTCGAATAGCGAGATGTAGATTTGGTGTCTCGCTATAATGCCGACCATGCAGCTGTATAATATTTTATAATTTAAATTATAATATAGATAAAAATTAAGGGTAAACAAATAAACAATGGAACTATACATAAAGTCATAAACAAATAAGGGTAGTTTTGGCCTTTACTTGGATCTTTAGTGTCCCTATTTCGAGTAGCAATATCTCTCCCAAAGTTTTCCAAGGCTAACTTGAACTTAATTAATTCATGGCTCTGGATCTCATCCTGGATATCTTAGTCAGGCAGCATCCTCTCAAGCACATCTAAAAACCCACCATTTATTACACAATCTGACTCAATAGATGGGTGCTTGTAGTAAAGAGATGGGTTTAGAAAGTAACCGGCTGAATAGAGGTGCCTATGAAGCTGGGTATCTCATCTCCCATCAATAATTTCAAGTATACCCATACGCATATATTCATCATCCTTTAAAAAACATTTTTTATATCTACTCTTGCCCTAGTCATTGCCTCATGTATGTAGCCCATAGCGGGCTTCACATCACCATCAACCAATTGAAGCACTCTCACTAAAGGGCGAGCTACCTCCAATGCAAGAATTATTTGACTCCAAAAAGATATATTCAAAATAAATTTTTCAGCCTTCTCCCATCCTTATGCTTTGAACATTTACTATGACTCCATTGCTGTGAAGCAAACATGGTCCTCAAGGCACTGTTTTGCTTGGCTAAGCTTAGAAGAGTGAGAAATGACGTGGCAAATCTAGTGATACCCAGTCTCACTGATTCTCTCTTCTTTATAAAAAATCTCATCATGCTTAAGACTATGGTGTGATTGTAAATAAATCCAACAACAAACATAGCTCTTGAAATCACCCCACTAAATAAAGATGTACCCATTTCCTTAAGCATAAGATTAACATAATGAGCTACGCAAGGAGTCCAAAACATATGCGTCATGTTCAACGTCAAGAAATGCCAGTTGCGGCATAATTGGCACCATTGTCAGTGACAATTTGTACCACATTTTTCTCTCCAACAAACTCTACAATCTCATCCATCAAGCCACATATGACAAGTATGTAGCATCATGTGACTTGTCTGATGCATCAACAGACTTAACAAAAAAAGTACTTGTTGGACAGTTAATGAATGCCCTCGACTTCCCATCGGACCAACCATCACACATAATAGTGGCCCCATATTTCTCCCATCCTTCTCTTTGAGAAATCAAAATTTTGTTGACATCGAATACAACATCCTTCAACAAGGGCTCCCTAACCTCATGTAGTGAAGCAAGAACAAGTCTTGGGCCATACATGCAAAATTATCGAGAGTTATAATATTAAAAGGAATGTCGGTCATGTAAATCCACTTTGCAATCCACTTACATACCGACTTCCTCTGTTCTTTCTTGTATCTATTTTCAATTGTAGTTTGTTTTGTTTTTTACTTTCTCTCCTGAACTACAATTTCGGGACTAGGGGTGAAAAAAACATCCATTGGCCCCTTAGAGAGAGTGTTCTTTTTTCAACACTACCACCAATATTTATAAGAAAAAGTTTATAT